TAGTGACGTCAAAAGAAGAATTGGTTGAAAAAGTATTTCCCAATATTCAAACCAATTATAAGAATCACGATTGGCGGAGTGAACGATTTGCGGCCAAGAACAAAGATGTCTACGAACTTAACAATATTATTCAGTCTAACATTCAAAGCGAGGCAGTCACATACAAGTCCGTCGACACTGTTCTGGAAGTAGATGAAGCAGTTAATTATCCAACAGAATTTTTGAATTCTTCAATCTGCCAGGGATGCCACTGCACGTACTGCAATTGAAAATTGGTGTGCCACTTATCATGTTGCAAAATATCAACCAGCCAAAGCTTTGCAATGGCACGCAGCTTGCAGTAAAAAAATTAATGAGCAACGTCGTAGAAGCAACAATCTTGACAGGACCTTTCAAAGGTGAAGATGTTCTCATTCCTCGCATTCCTATGATTCCAACGGATATGCCATTTCAATTTAAGAGATTGCAATTCCCAATTCGATTGGCGTTTGCAATCACCATCAACAAAGCTCAGGGCCAATCTTTAGAATTGTGCAGTTTAGATCTAGACACGGATTGCTTCTCACATGGACAATTATATGTTGCGTGTTCTAGAGTCGGCAAACCAGACAATCTCTATATCTGCACAGACAATGGAACAACAAAAAATATTGTATACCCACAAGCATTGTGAAATTAAACATATTAGAAACGTGCGCTTCCTCTTTTCTTTCTTTTCCATTTAACCAGAATGAGCCACAGCAACGTGTGGCCGGGTACAGCTAGTTGTTAATATAAAGGTATAAATTTATGGTCATTTGGTTTTTTATAAAAGTTCCAAAGCAACTCATTTAGGACAGTACAGTCCTTTTTTGAACAAAAAGTGAAAGAACAACTAGATATCTATGTGAGGAGGAAAAACAAACCTCAACCTATGCTTCATATCACAAAAAAATATGAATCCTAGGTGAATCATTCACCTAAGTTAAAAGCTAAGACTAACAAGAGTCTGGAAGAAAACAGGATTTTCAATATTTCTTGGATCATTGAGCTCTACTTAGTTTTGTGCTAGAGAACATAATCTGTATGATATTAGTCTTTGGCAGTATTGACGCTTGTTTTATGACTCAACATGTGGTCTATCATAGTGTTTCCTATAAAAGTAAGTGTATTCTATGATAGAGTCCTAATAAATTAGGTAAAGTTGGTTGATAGCACTTGAAACACTTCCAGATTCTAATCCATCCAGAAACGCCTAAGTATCATTTTAGGTTCCATCTCTATAAAGTCTCTTCATCTCAGGCCTACTTCTTCATCCACCTATATCCACACCCATATCCATGCTCATACCATGCACTGCACCCGGGTGTGGAAGGCCACACAGCAACCTGATCACTTATAAATGGCTTATTTCTATCAGGAATTCAGTTCAAGTCTTCCTTGCCTCCTCCATTCTTGGAGAGCCCAAAAGGAAAGTATGATTTTTATCTTTCAAGCTGCATGGAAATAAAGACCTTTCATATTCTTGTACATTATAATTGAAATGAAAGTTAAAGTTTGTTCTTGTTTTAATAACTTCCTTCCTACTTCCCAATACACCGGGGGTGGGGAAAATCCAGCCCACTGGCTGTATAAGGCCCATGAAATCATTTGGTTTGGCCCTGCCACCGCATTAGGGGTGAGTTAATTAAATGTTTGACCGAAACAGCAGGCTAATTTTTAAATTGATAATTCTGTATGGCCCTTGGCAGAAAAAAGGTTCCCCAGCAAAATACTAAAGGTAATGCTACCATTATTGATCTGGGAGCTCGTTACCATGGTTTGTCCAGTCTGTAAACATTGAATGAGCTGTACATGTAGGGTTTGTGCACTTTTCTGTATGAATATGATATAAAGTAGTTTACTAAAAATTATAAAGAGACTATTTATAATTAAGATGTTTTTATCTTCTGGGGAAAAATTTAACTCTATACAATCAAAAACCTACATCATCTTGAATGCTATATTTTTGTGTGTGGGTTTTTTTTAAAAAAACAGCAACACAGATTTATTGAATGCTACCTTTGAAGTCAAAACCAGAAAAGGAGCAGAGTAGCTTTAAAATGAATTTTAAAATAATTCATGCCAATGTTTTAAAGGCTCTTCAAATGAGATGTAGACAGGGTAAATACAGTGATATTGCAGCAGGTAGGATAACTCATTTATTAAATATATTCTATTCTGCCAAATACCATTAAGAATAAAAAAGGCTGCCTCTAGTTATCTGAATTCTAGAAATTCCTTGTGAATTATCTTGTTTTGTATTTAAAGATTCTCTTTCTTCAAAATCTATTTGGTTTCTGAGTTCAGATACTAAAGAATATGATTTGATTTCCAAGTTTCAGAAAGTGAGTAACAAGTTTGAATAAATATTTATTAGAAACAATTTGTTCCTAAATTCAGATTGTGATCATTTTTTCAATTGATTACTAAATTTGATTTGCTAATTTATAACATCACATTTTCATAACTGATTCTGGACATTCAGTTTGACTATTTAACAAGGCTAGGATTAGGAGCACCCTCCAAATGTCAAAAATCTGCTTATAACTTTTGACTCCCCCCAAACTTGACTACAGTTTGCCCTTCACATCTGTGGATTCAACCAACTGTGGATCAAAATCTGTTGGGAATTTTCAAACAACTGTTGGGAATGCAAAAATACTATTTTCAAGCCATAGTTGGTTGAATCTACAGATTCAAAACTGTGGATACAAAGCACTGACTGTATTTATTATAAAAAATCTGTGTGGAAGTGAACCCATACAGTTCAAATCTGTGTTGTTTGAAGGTCAACTGTATTATCTTTCTTTGTGTTCTCCTAGATAGTTTTAACATTAGAATTATGAAAAATTCATAGAAATAGATAACTTGCTATCTAATATCTCAGTCTGGAAGAGTTCCCAAACATTTCATAGGTTTTATCTATAAATATATCTAGGATGATGTCTTCTTTAGTAGCCATGTGACATTTAAAGTATTTTTTAATCTTTAACTTTTATTATTATTTAACTTTTATTAATAAAAGCTTTAACTTTTATTATTCATCAGTATGCATTTTTTAATCTATTTTCAATCACCGAAACATTTTTATCACTGAAAAAGATCTAGTCCTTTCAAATGTAAATATGTGGTCATGTCATTGTCTCATTCACAATGCTATTTGTCATCCTTACTTCCTTACATGAATCACTAAAGTTTGTCTTTTTTTCAGTCAAATCATAAAAATTTCTATTTTACTTTTTTTCTTTTACTTATTTATGCATTTTATAACTAATAATGCCTTCTCTACCCCATGTTTTAGATTTTTTTTGTTTGTTTTAGCTCCTTGGGTTATATATTGATTTTGTTTCTTAATGATCTTTCTAATATTGTAATACACACACACACACACACACACACATATTGGGTTATAAAATTCCCTATATAACTTTGATTGCCACTCACAGGTTTTTCAATTGTTCTCACTTTTGTTCACATTTAAGTAATGTGTATAATAAGGATTTAGTTCCTTAACCAGTTAACTGCCATGATATTTTTTATTTAATTAAAAAAGGTCCACCACTTGTGTCTATAGACGCTTATGTGTACAAATGGTTAACCCATGTTGATCAAGGGGGCAAAACATTTGGCCTATATATTTTCTGCTTTGGGGGAACTAATTACTAGGAAAAATATTTTCATCATTTCCTACTTTAACACTTGTGCTTTCACCTACCAATCATTATATCCATAGGGTTTAAGGCTAGTATTCATCTTTGTGCAGCATAAACGATGAAGTCTGAATTGAGACTACTCACAAAGTTTTCCTTTTCCTTTTAAAAACCCATGCTGAATAATGAGTGATGAGAAAAGCTTTCTTATACACATTACACTCATTTCTTTTTTCATTGCACATTCTTTGATTTATACAAAGGTAAACAACATGGTTTAAATCCTTCCCACAAATAATAAGGTAATTATGAAAATTAGTATATCAATGATAAAAATGGACAACTTTTACTAAGCACTTAGTATGTGATATAGTCCTAATACTTTAAATTTATTCATTCATTGAATCCTCATAACAAACCAATAGATATAGCATAATTATATTTACTGTACATGAAATAAAACATATGAAATACCACTAACACCTATCAAAAAAAAAGTAAAAAAAAAATCTAGAACATTTTTATAATAGTGATTAAAAACCTCCTACTATGAGACTGGGATTAGGGCTAATGAAAAGGAACATAAAAGTTTATAAGGAAAAGATGTGGATAATTTCAGCAATTAAAATACATTTTTTAAAAGAAAAACACAAATCCAAAGATAAATTTTGGTTCATATACTCAGGGCATGTGAACATTTAGATGCAACCATAACATGAATAATAAAGCCATTTAAAAAAGTCATTGAGTATAAGTCATTAAAAATAAAAAATCTACATTTGCTGAAATGGCAATCATATTTTTTGACATGTTAAGAGCAGGTGAAGATACAATATGCATATCATGACTACACTTTCTTTAAAGACAAAGTATGGTGGGATGTACTCTACCAACTTGAGAGTAGTCATCTATAGTTACTCTGATTACAATTAATATTTGCTTTTTGGTTTCTGGTTTTTTTAAGAAAATATAAATTTCTGAGACAAAAATATTAACACTGATTTCAAAAGCAAGTTAAATTTCTAAAGGAATTAAAAATACAAGATCACATAATTTAAGCACAAATATATAAATCAGAACAGAAAAAAATAGCTCTGAAACACAAGCAAATATAAAGAATAATATAACATTAACACCAAGAAGGTAGGACAAAATAATGGGAAAGAAAAGAATTACTGAACATCTGCCATTAGTACAATATTGGGGAAGCATGGATAAATGCCAATATAGGCTCTCTCTCTCTCTCTCTCTCTCTCTCTCTATATATATATATATATATATATATGGTAATTATGAAAATTAGCATTTATATGAATGAAAACAAATAGTGAAAGATGGTAACTCTCTAACATTATTTGTTGTTTAAAATATTAGGAAGAGCTTTAACTTTTATTATTCATCAGTATGAATTCCCTGATGACGAATGAGATCTGACCCACTACTAAATGCCTTCCCACATTCCCTACAGTTATAGGGCTTTTCACCAGTATGAATTCTCAAATGTCGAGTAAGGTTTGAGCATTTATTAAAAGCCTTTCCACATTCATTACATTCATATGGTTTTTCATCTGTATGAATTCTCTGATGTTGAAAAAGTTGTGAGTTCTGAGTAAAGGCTTTCCCACATTCAAGACATTCAAAAGGTTTCTCACCAGCATGAATTCTCTGATGTTGTCTAAGTTGTGAGCTCTGAGTAAAAGCCTTGCCACATTCCTTACAATTATAGGGTTTTTCCCCAGTGTGGATTCTCTGATGATTAGTAAGTGCTGAGCCACTACTGAAGGCTTTGCCACATTCCTTACACTCATAGGGTTTTTCACCAGTATGAATTCTCTGATGCTGAACAAGCTTTGAGCTCTGAGTAAAAGCTTTGCCACATTCCTTACATTCATAGGGTTTCTCACCTGTATGAATTCTTGCATGTTGAAAAAGTTGTGAGCTCTTAGTAAAAGCTTTCCTACATACTTTACATTCATAGGGTTTTTCACCAGTGTGAATTCTCTGATGGTCAATAAGATTTGAGCAATAACTAAAGGCTTTCCCACATTCCTTACATTCATAGGGTTTCTTACCAGTATGAATTCTCTGATGTTGAGAAAGGTATGAGCTACAACTGAAGGCCTTTCCACATTCATTACATTCAAAGGGTTTTTCACCAGTATGAATTTTCAGATGTCGAGTAACATGTGAGCCACAGCTAAAGAATTTCCCACACTCCTTACATTCATAAGATTTTTCACCATTATGAATTCTTTGATGTTGAATAAATTGTGAATTCTGATTAAAGACTTTCCCACATTTCTTGCATTCATAAGGTTTCTCTTCATTATTAATTATTTGATGCAGAGTAAAGAATGTCTGTTGAATATATGTGGGCATATATCCATGAGTAAGTATTTCTTGGCTGAAATGACCATTCTGATATCCCAGTTGTCTTTCAAGGTGGCTGCCATATTCCAAAACATCTCTATAATGAGAATACTCGAGGCCATACTTTGTAAGTCCCATTATCTCCCTCTGGCATGATTCTATTTCATAAACTTCCTTCTTTAGAGATAATAACTTGGTTTCACACATTGACTCCAGATCTGAAAGAAAATAAAATAGCAAATATTATTTCTGTCCCATTTGTGAAAAGTTAAACTTTTATAATAGAAATGAAAAAATGTAAGATATCTGGTAGTAAATGATATACAGTTCTCAAGTATATTTGTTTAATCTGAAAAATGGACTAGAAATGTATAGAATGTAGTGAGATATAGTCATCCATGTACCCCATAATGACATTTCAGTCAAATTTGGACCATATCTGCAGTTGTGGTCTCATACTATATAATAAAAAGGTAATATGCAAATTGACCAAATGGTGGAACAACCAGTCGCTATGATGAGCACTGACCACTACGGGGCAGACGTTCAATGCACGAGCTGCCCCCTGGTGGTCAGTGCACTCCCACAGGGGGAGTGCTACTCAGCCACACGCTGGGCTCACAGCTGGTGAGCGCAGCTGCGGTAGCGGGAGGCTCTCCCACCTCCGTGGCAGTGCTAAGGATGTCCAACTGCCGGCTTAGGCCTGCTCCTCATGGGCCTAAGCCATCAGTCAGACATCCTCTGAGGGCTCCCAGACTGTGAGAGGGCGCAGGTCAGGCTTAGGGACCACCCCCCCAAGTGCACAAATTTTGTGCACCGGGCCTTTAGTAAATACATAATGGAACTGAAAAATTCCTATTGCCTAGTTACATCCTAGATGTTCTAAGGTTGTGCTGCAATATACTACTCATGTTTGTGGTGAAGCTAGTGTAAACAAACCTACTGCACTTCCAGCTTTATAAAAGTATAGCACACACAATGACAGTAGTAAGATATGTCATCTAGGTTTGTGTAAGTATACTCTATGATGTTCACACAGTGATGAAATCACCTAATGATACTTTTTCAGAACGTATCCCTGTTGTTAAGTGGTGCAGGACTGTATAATGCAGAAAGCGGAAAGAAGAGACTATGGAAATAGAAAACTACAATCCTTCTCAAATACTCATATGAATCAGAATCATCTGGAAAGACTGGTAAATATACAATGTTTAAGCATATGAAAAAATGACTAGTTTTATATACATCTATATAAGCATGCGTGCATGCATATATATTATAAAAACTGGATAATTTTCTGACCTCCATTAAAGTCTCTTGAAAGAAATAAATCCATAGAGGGGAAGATTCTTGGTTTTTGATATAATAAAAAAATGAATTTGGTCTTTGTACCTGGTTTCTATCACAGAGCTTCAACAACTCTTGGAATTTCTTATATGATAGAAGTATTTTTGTTATGCTAATCAAGTCAAACATAGTAGGTCCAAAGATAGCTTTGGGATAGACATTGGTCACCAGAAAGACCAAACATGTGATTAGAAGTTTAGGACTTTCATCTTCTCAACTTCTGGAGAGATAAGAGGAACCAGAAATTGAGTGGTCAATGACTCAATTAATCATGTGAATATAAATAAATCACAATAAAAATTCTGGACACTAAAGCTTGCTACCTGTACACACTGAAATGCCAAAAGGGTGATGCATTTTGACTCAACAGTGATAGAGGGTATGGACCCTCTGCATCTGGGAGCCTCACAGACCTTAGCCTAATATATATCCTTTACAGTAAAACTGCAACTGTAAGTATAGAGCTTTCCAAGTGCTGTGTTATTCTAGCAAATCATTAAAACTGTAAGAGTCACGGAAAGCCCCAACTTTATAGCCAGTTGGTCAGAAGTATGGGTGTTCTGAGGACCCCCTGAGACTTACAGCTGGCAGTTGAAGTAAAGGCAGTATTGTGTAGGATTTTGCTATTAATCTACGGGGTCTATGTCAACTCTGGGTAGTCAGTGTTAGAATTAAACTGCTGCACACTCAGTTGGGGCAGAAACAATAGGCTCCATAATAAAGGATATATTAGATGGAATATGAAAGAGATTACAGAAGGCAAGCCACATGAGGGAATAGCCTGAGATAAGTCTAAGGATAGAACTATTTTGATGTGAGTGGTGGATAGGGAAGACTCAGAATCTGTTATGTGCTAGGGATTAAGTGAAACTATTGTTTGCCTTAGAATTTTGTGATGCTTATTTTAGAAGAAGAGAGACACTTGCTCATTACCACCTGTAGTGACTGAGAGGAGTGGCAGCTGAAGTTTAAGGCAGACAGAAAGAAAATGACAAAGTGCCAAACACTGCAATGGAAAGATGATAGGAACAAGAAGCAGACTGATAAGCTGAGTACCAACTCTGACACTTACTCATTATATGTTCCTAGGCAATTACTTAACCTTTCTAAATCCCCACTTCTTTATCTGTAAAGATAAAGAAATGATTACTGGAAGGGTGATGAAATGTTTGTAATTATCTCTCAATAAAGTGTTTAGTATTTGACAGGTATTATTATGAAAGAATTTCTTATCAAAAAGTAGAATTTTTAAGCTAATGAAATGATTTGAAGACATCAAAATAGAGCCTATTAGAACATCTCTAGTATAATCTTTTTTACTCGTACCTCTATATAACCTTTCAACAATTTTAAGCTCCAAAGTAACTTAAAACTATCCTCTTCTATTTCCACTGTTAATGCCCTCTTCCAAACCAGAATTATCTCTTACTCAGACCACTAAAATAGCCTCCTAACCCAGTTTTCCCAGCAAGTTTCACACTCAGTAATCTATTCAGGGACCAAAAATGCACTTGGCTTGGCCTTCTACTACAAAAATCCATACTTTTCATAATGCCAGCAGAGGCTGAGTAATGTGGTTCCTACCTGTCTCTCCAACCTCGACTCACATTTCACTCTCGCTTGCTCATGGGGCCCAGCAATACTGGCTTTCTTTCAGTTCTTCAAACACACCAAGCTTTCCCCTCTTAGAAGGGCTTTCACAGGGGTTCATCCCTCTTCCTGGAGTTTTCTTCTTTACTAACACACTGAATAGTAAGATCTAGCAGTAAACCTAGTACTACAGTAGTTATGAAATAGTGATGAGCACAAATAATAATTCAATATGTTGATTTCCATTCATGTCAAAATCATGGAACTAATACTATTATGGTTTGCTGCATATACCATAATTGGAAGAAATACTAAGTTTCACTTAGAGTTTACTAAATATCAATATTTTTCTATGTTTTTAGAGATGGAGGGAAAGAGATAAAAACATTGATGTGAGAGACATTGATTGACTGCCTCCTGTGCAAGCCCCAACCAGGGGCTGACCCTGCAATCTAGGTTGTGCCCTGACTGGGATTCAATCCCATGACCTTCTAGTGCATGAGATGACTCTCCAACCAACTGAACACTGGCCAGGGAAAGATGCATTTTTCTCCTTCTCATCTAACTTCATTGACTCCCTAAATTCTATACAAAGAAATCCAAAATTAGCAATCTCTGAGTTAGAGTATTCCTTTAAAAACATGTTGCCACTCCTCTGCTCAAATCACCTCATTCAGAATAAAATGGCTTTACACCTACCTCATTTAGAGCAGAATTCAAAGTCCATACCTAAGTCCAAAAAATCCAAATCACCTGCAGGTACACCCTTCCTCCCACATGTACCTACCACACCAACACCCCATACATCCTGCTATTTTGCTGATCTCCTTTCACACAATTCCCTCTTGCTCACACAATGGCAGAAGCCCAAATGCTGGAAGCTATACTGAAGACTATTACTTGGAGGGGAAGAGCAGTGGAATATATACAAATGCATGTGTGCGCACGCACACACACACACACATACACACACACACATCTTATTTTGGGGGTGGTAACAGAAAACATTTAGATAGTCTAAGAGAAAGAAAGGCTAATAATGAACTGAAATTTAAATATGGGTAAAAGTTTTCTTTGGAGGGGAAGTGAAGGAAACCTTCTACTTGAAATTAAGTGGTGTGTTAAAGAATAATAATAAAAAGATTAGTAAGTGAGGGAAGAAATGAAATAGGTCATTTATAAACTCATGGTAAAAAAAACCCACAAAAACTTATTTTTTCTCCCAGGCCTAGTGTTTTGATGGGAGCTTGTAAGATAATATCTTGAAGACACTGTTTCCTTACTGATCAGCTAACTTATTACGTATAATGCCCCGCTTTATTCAATCATTTCTTTTTTTTTAATATATTTTATTGATTTTTTACAGAGAGGAAGGGAGAGAGATAGAGAGTTAGAAACATCGATGAGAGAGAAACATCGACCAGCTGCCTCCTGCACATCTCCCACTGGGGATGTGCCCGCAACCCAGGTACATGCCCTTGACCGGAATCGAACCTGGGACCCCTCAGTCCGCAGGCCGACGCTCTATCCACTGAGCCAAACCGGCTTCGGCTGTTCAATCATTTCTTACTTACCTGAACACAGGCTTCTTGTCAGTTCTCTGCCAACCATCCAGGGCTCTTTCCCTTGTTCCAATAAGGAGATAACATGAGGCTTAGGTATGTAAAGTCCTGCTCACAAGAAAAGATACAAAACATGGTTATGCTATGGGTAAATCAGATCCATGTAAGATGCAGTCCCTTGATGATCAAAAAAGAGATGCCACTACAGGAATAGCCAGAGAAAAAAGATGAAGCTTCAGCTATAGCCAATTGGAACTTTCAGTTTCCTATTCTTCCTTTTCATTTCAGTTCCAACCACTCATTTAGGAATAGAGAACAGGAATTCAGCTAGTAACTAAAAAAGCAGCTAAGAAATTCACTGTGGAAGAAAAAAGGCATTCCAGAAGAGAACTCTAAATTATTGGTATAAATGACATTACCCACTGACAGCAGATTGCTGTAGTTCTCCAGCATTACATCTCTGTACAAGTCCCTCTGAGCTGGGTCCAGGCATCCCCACTCCTCCTGAGAGAAATCTATGGCCACATCCCTGAATATCATTGATTCCTGAAACAATAAAGACATGTATACTTGTGTAATAAAAGAAACACTTCAGGCTTGTGTAGCCCGCCCTCATCCAAGGAACAGCAGCCTCCTGATCACCACACCCTCTGTCTGAGGAACAGCAGCTGTGTGTGAAGCCTCCACCCACCAGCCAGAGGAGTCACCACAACTGTGAACAGCACCCACCAGAGGAACTGCTGCCAACTGAGGAGCAGCTGCTACCACAACCGCCCGAGGAGCAACCTCAGCCCGAGAAGCCACTGCCACCCAAGGAGCAGCCACTGAACGACTCAACATCTAGATATGGCTGTACGATAAAACATGGGTAGACAAAGAAACCCCCAAAGGAAAGAAAAGGAAGACTCGCCAGAAAAGCAGCTAAGTGATACAGAGGCATGCAACATGGCAGAAAAAGAATTCAGATTAAGGGTCCTAGAGTGCATAACCAGATGGAGGAAAAAATCAACAACTTATGCAAGAAGCAAGAAGAAACAGATGAAAAAATCAATAAATTATGTAAGAACCAAGAAGAAATGAAGAGTGATATAGCTGTAATAAAAAACACCATTGAAAGTTTACACAGTAGAAATGGAGAAGCGGAGGACCAAATTAGCGAATTAGAAAAAAGGGAAACAAAACACACCCAAACTGAACAGCAATTGGAGAAAAAAATTAAAAGACAGGAGGAGAGCCTAAGGGAGCTATGGGAGAACATGAAACGAAACAACATATGAATAATAGGGTTGCCGGAACAACAGAAAGAGGAACAAGGGTTAGAAAACCTATTTGAAGAAATAATATTAGAAAACTTCCCTGAGGTGGGGAAGAAAAAAATCACACAAGCACAGAGAGTCCCAAACAAGGTGAACCCGAAAAGACCCACACCAAGACACATCATAATTACCTTGGCAAATGTTCAGAACAAAGAATCTTAAAGGCTGCAAGAGAGAGATAGAAAGTTACATTCAAGGGATCTCCCATTAGATTATCGAATGATTTCTGAACAGAAACACATCAGGCAAGAAAAGAATGGACAGAAATTTACAAAGTAATGCAAAACAAGGACTGAATCCAAGAATACTCTATCCAGCAAGGCTATCATTCAAAATTGAAGGGGAAATAAGAAGCTTCACAGACAAAAAAAGGCTAAGGATTTAATCACCACCAAGCCAGCAATGCAAGAAATGCTAAAGGGACTGGTGTAAAAAGAAGAAATAAAAAGCTCAGAAAGAAAACAGCCACACAAAAAAGAAATGGCTACAAACAAGTACCTTTCAATAATAACTTTAAATGTAAATGAACTAAATGCTCCAACCAAAAGACATCGAGTGGCTGAATGGATAAAAAACCATGACCCAAAATATTTGCTGTCTACAAGAGACCCACCTCAGAATAAGGGACTCACACAGACTGAAAGTGAAGGGATGGAAAAATATCTTTCAGGCAAATGGAAATGAAAAAAAAGCTGGGGTAGCAATACTTATATTGGACAAAATAGACCTCAAAGTGAAGGCCATAAGAAGAGATAAGGAAGTCCACTTCATCATACTAAAGGGATCAATACAACAAGAAGATATAACCCTGATAAACATATATGCACCCAATGCAGGAGCACCCAAATACATAAAAATACTCCTGGAAGATATTAAAGGAGAGATCAACAACAATACAATCATAGTAGGGGACATTAATACACCACTGACAACACTGGATAAATCCTCTAAACAAACAATCAGCAAAGAAACAGCAATCCTAAATGACTCACTAGATCAGATGAACTTAATTGACATCTTCAGAACATTTCACCCCAAAGCCACGGAATATACATTCTTCTCAAGGGCTTATGGGACATATTAAAAAATAGACCGCATATGGGGTCACAAACAAAGTCTCCCCAAATTCAAGAAGAATGAAATCATACCAAGCATCTTCTCAGACCATGATGGCATAATATTAGAAGAAATAAACTACAATAAAAACAACCCAAAATCCTCAAACACTTGGAAGCTGAATAGCATGTTATTAAATATTGATTGGGTTACCAATGAGATCAACGAAGAAATTTAAAACATCCTGGAAACTAATGACAATGAAAACACAACAATCCAAAACCTATGGGACACAATGAAAGCAGTCCTGAGAGGGTAGTTTATAGCTCTACAGGCCTATCTCAAAAAACAAGAAAAAATGGTAGTAAATCATCTAACTCTACAACTCAAAGAATTAGAAAGAGAGCAACAAGAAAAGCCCAGAGTGAGCAGAAGGAAGGAGATAATAAAGATCAGAGCAGAAATAAATGACACAGAGACCAAAAAAACAATACATAAAATCAATGACAAAGAGCTGGTTCTTTGAAAGGATAAACAAGATTGATGAACCCCTAGGCAGGCTCACCAAGAAGCAAAGAGAGAGGACCCAAATAAACAAAATCAGAAATGATAGAGGCGAAATAACAACAGACCCCACAGAAATACAAATGATTGTTAAATAATACTATGGACAACTATACTCCAACAAACTAGACTACCTGGAAGAAATAGACATATTCCTAGAAAAATACAACATTCCAAAACTCAATCAGGAAGAATCTAAAAATCTCAATAGGCCAATAACTATGGAAGAAATTGAAGCAGTCATCAAAATCCTTCCAGCAAAAAAAGCCCAGGACCGGACGGCTTCAAGGGGAGTTTTACCAAACATTCAAGGAAGAACTAAAACTTATCCTCCTCAGACTACTACAAAAATTCAAGAGGAAGGAACACTTCCAAGCTCATTCTATGAAGCCAGGATCACCCTAATACCAAAACCAGGTAAAGACAACACAATGAAAGAGAATTACAGACCAATATCCCTCATGAACATAGATGCCAAAATCCTCAACAAAATCTTAGCAAATCAGATCCAGCAGTACATCAGAAAGATCATACACCATGACCAAGTAGGATTTATCCCAGGGATGCAAGGATGGGACAATATCAAAAAATCAATAAATGTGATACATCACATAAACAAAATGAAAGAAAAAAACCACATAGTCATATCAATTGATGCAGAAAAAGCATTTGACAAAATCCAACACCCATTTTTGATAAAAACTCTCAGCAAGGTGAGAATAGAAGGATCATACCTCAACATAATAAAAGTCATATATGACAAACCCACAGCCAACATCATACTCAATGGACAAAAACTAACACCATTTCCCCTAAGAACAGGAACATGACAGGGATGCCCCCTTCCGTTCGATATAGTACTGGAAGTATTAGCCATTGCAATTAGACAAGAAGAAGAAATAAAATGCATCCAAATTGGAAAAGAAGAAGTAAAACTGTCCTTATTTGCAGATGACATGATATTATACATACAAAACCCTAATGACTCCATCAAAAAACTATTAGACTTAACAAATGAATTCGGCAATGTAGCAGGATACAAAATTAACGCCAAGAAATCTATGGCATTTCTATACACCAATAGTGAACTTACAGAAAGAGAGTCTAAAAAACAATCCCATTTACCATCGCACCAAAAAAATTAAGCTACCTAGGAATAAACTTAACTAAGGAGGTAAAAGACCTCTACTCAGAAAACTACAGGACGTTGAAAAAAGAGACAGAGGAAGACATAAACAAATGGAAGAACATACCATGTTCATGGATTTGTAGAATCAACATCATTAAAATGTCCGTATTACCCAAAGCAATCTATACATTTCAACGCCATATTTCACAGGCCTACAACGAACTCTCCAAAAATTCATCTGGAATAAAAAAAGACCCTGAATAGCTGCAGCGATCCTGAGAAAGAACAAAGTAGGTGGGATCTCAATACCAGATATCAAGCTGTATTACAAAGCCACTATTCTCAAAACTGCCTAGTATTGGCACAAGAACAGACATATAGATCAATGGAATAGAATAGAGAGCCCAGAAATCAGCCCGAACCAATATGCTCAATTAATATTTGTCAAAGGAGGCAAGAACATACAATGGAGTCAAGATAGTCTCTTCAATAAATGGTGTTGGGAAAATTGGACAGATACATGCAAGAAAATGAAACTAGACCACCAACTTACACCATACACAAAAATAAACTCAAAATGGATAAAAGACTTAAATGTACAACGGGAAACCATAAAAATTCTAGAAGAATCCAAAGGCAACAAAATCTCAGACATCTGTCGAAGCAATTTCTTCACCGATACAGCTCCTAGGGCATTGGAAACTAAAGAGAAAGTAAACAAATGGGACTACATCAAAATAAAAAGCTTCTGCACAGCAAAAGAAACCATCAACAAAATAACAAGAAAACCCACTGCGTGGGAAAACATATTTGTCAATGTTATATGTGATAAGGGCCTAATCTCCAAAATTTATAGGGAACTCATACAACTTAACAAAAGGAAGATAAACAATCCAATAAAAAAATAGGCAAAGGACCTAAATAGACACCTTTCAAAAAAGGATATTCAGAAAGCCAAGAGACATATGAAAACATGCTCAAAGTCACTAATCATCCAAGAGATGCAAATCAAAACAACAATGAGGTACCATCTCACACCTGTCAGAATATCTATCATCAACAAATCCACAAACGACAAGTGCTGGAGAGGATGTGGAGAAAAAGGAATACTCGTGCACTGCTGGTGGGAATGCAGACTGGTGCAGCCACTATGGAAGACAGTATGGAGTTTCCTCAAAAAGTTAAGAATGGAACTCCCATTTGACCCAATGATTCCACTTCTAGGAATATATCCCAAGAAAACAGAAACACCAATCAGAAATGATATATGCACCCCTATGTTCATAGCAGCACAATTCACCATAGCTAAGATCTGGAAACAGCCTAAGTGTCCATCAGTAGATGAATGGATTAGAGAACTGTGGTATATCTACACAATGGAATACTATGCTGTCGTAAAAAAGAAGGAACTCTTACCATTTGCAACGGCATGGATGCAACTGGAGAGCATTATGCTAAGTGAAATAAGCCAGTCAATGAAG